CATTCGATGATTTTCCCTCCTTAAAAAAAAATACACAAGTATTGTAGCACCAGTTTTTGCCTGTAGCCTCGTAAGGTAAACGGCCCAGTAACCGTGAAGTTCTGAACTTCCCTGACTTTGCATGCGTGCTAGGCTGAAACAAGTAGACTTATGAAAGTAAATTTTATACGACTAGTTAGATAATTTAGTATACTTTTAGTATATTATAATTCTATTAAACTTATGGAAATGTTAATTAACAATAAAACAAAAAGAATACAAAATGGGCCAACTGTACCAGTATCCGGTAGAGTTGTACTAGTTAACGTTTAATTGTCCCGGAATCCGGCAAATTTAACCGCAAATTTGAACTCTATTGCTTTACGTTAAAGTTCACAGAAATAAAATATTTTTAAATAAATAGAGTAAGTAGTGAAAATAATTAGGGTCTGTATTTAACAAAAAAAGCATAATTCGTTTTAATTTTTTTTAATTAAATTATTACATAAATTATGGGTTAACACTAGTAATTAATTTTTGTTGCATCTTCAGTAATCTTTGGTAAAAAAACATCACTAACTTAAATTTTTACATTTTAAAATAGAATTAATGGCTTCCTCGAGGTGTGCTATAATAAAATAGTCTTCCACTTTTTTAAACTCTTACACTGCTTTCTTGAACTAAACCACGGGTTTGCGTTACATTTTGGGCCACTCGCTGGCCTACTTCAGGGTGCTCGCTTTATAAAGGCTTCAAACCAGTGACGACCTGGTCTGCCATTTTTAAAAGGGTTTTCTCGCTTCAATTTTTTAATCAGTAAACTTACGCTATCCAACAACTGCGCCTTAGTTACAGGAAATCCACTATCTGCCATAAAAATTATCCATCTACTTATATGATCTTCTTCTTCTTTTGATAAAACTGTAGCAGGTCCTTTGGAATATTCAATAGAATAGTGGCCGCGTATTTTGTCGTCCAACGTTGACCGTGGAATATTATACTGCCTGGCTGCACCTGAAATTGAGGCTCCTTTTCTAATTGCGTCCATGGCCTTTTGTTTCTCAGTCATGGCTACCTTAAAGAAAATTAAACCGTTATTTGCTAATTTCTGATTTCGAATCAATAGGTATAAAATAGTAAAAATACAAACTTTCAAACATATTTGTTAAAAAATGTGTGGTAATTATTTAAAAATCAAGAGCACCGAGCTTTTTTTCGCTTTTCTCAATTTTAGCTGATGCCAACCATTAGCCATTTCCTGTAACTAAAACGCAGATGTTGTATAGAGTTAAAAATAAAGCAAGAAAACCCTGACAGACCAGGTTGTCACTGGTTTGAAGTAATCATACAGCAGCATACAGAAGCAAGCCGACAATTGGCTCAAATTTTAACACAAACCCATGCGTTAGTTCAGGAAATTCGGAGTACTTTATTATGAGACAACTTAAGCAAGCAAGCAGCTCGAGGCTTTTTACGGACACCAGAAGTCCAACTTGGAAAGGTATAGATCCCTCGAAAAATTATTCAAGGTTTAGAGGCAGATAAATACGCAAATTAATTTACCTTTAGTCAGTTTCAATTATGGCTCTACGACTTTAAGACAATTTTTAGTTCCTATCAACGATTTTTTGTCACCTGGATAACTTCACAGGTCTGACATCTTGCACCCAAATCTGAAGACACGTGAGTTTAGTGACTTATGAATGAAAGTGAAAGTCATGCAAGAAATATGGGAAAGTACTGGCGTATGAAAATGTCGACAGGCGGAGTTTCAAATAATGAGACATATTTATCTAACAAATTTTGTCAACGATGACAAAACTTGTACTGAAAATTACACACAAGTTACCATTTGTCAAGACTCGAACTGCAAAGCATAATTAATTTATTACAATATTCAAGTAAATGAAATAACTTAATGAAATAGCTTTTTCGCCCTTGCTACAATTTCAACTACTGTCAAGGAGTACAAATAATTGAATTACCATTGACTTCCGAAACCATTTTTTTAAAATATTGCTCAGTTGTCAATATTCCTATTAATGTACTGAAACTGCGCCCCATAAATAAATAAAAAACTGGTTTTAGAGCAGCAGAGCTGTAACGCAAACTATATAAAAATTAGGAAATCATTCAGAAAAACACAAAAGCAACCAAATGCACGTGGTAACAAAACAAATAAAATGCCTAGTAACTACATTCTATCGAGTTAACGGAAAACAATACTTATCTCAAGGCATTAAGGACCATGACGGATTTAAATGCAACTGTTAATGCGTGTACTAGTATCCGGCAGAAAATATTTAATATAAACTAAAATTTCAAAGGAATATGAGACCTATTTCAAAGCAATAAGGATACAATACCGGGTTTCGGTGCAACGTATGTTACCGGATTGATAGTGTACCAGTAACCGGTAAAAAATATACAAATTTACCGGGCACTAGGTCAAGTAGGGGTTTGTGAGTACCAATAAATGTAACATGCAAAAACATTTACGTTTTAATGAGATTTACCTTAATTTATAGGTTAAATCGTTAAATAATATACAAAACTTTTTATAAACATTAACACTCTTACCTTAATTTTATCCGTCGAAGTATGGCTAGATCATTTCTGCAACAGGGTGGTCTCGTAGTTCACTGACAGAACTTTGAACTTACAGACAATTTTATGATAACGTATTTTTAAGTTTGCACAGTTTTGACGCCATTAAACTTTTTGGTGAACGTTGGTATTAAAATTGTATAAAATAGTACCAAGAATTTATTGCCATTTACAAACTCTAATTTGATTTTGGTTGAAAGACGTAAAAAATTAAAAACTGACTAGTTAACGGGAACTGGGACACTAACGGGAATACGTACTTCTACCTTACGTGTTTTTCGTGCCTTTAAAAATTGTACAAAGAATAAAACGGCGAGTAGTTATCGGTTGTCATTGTATTTTGTAACCCATATCTAGTAAAATGTGTCGCGGAGAACCTAACGGGTAACCGGGGCTCCGGCTCGACGCGCAGGAGAAGGAACGGGGTGGTTTTTAGTCAGTAAGTCTGACACTCCCTCCCGCCTTGCCCAGGCGGGAGCAGTCATTCGATGATTCTCCCCCCTTAAAAAAAATCTAGTAAAATGTGGATAGATGTAAGTAAGAAGTAAGTAAAAATATTTATATTATAACTTTTATGAGACATAACTAAATTATTTATTATGGTTTCAGCACCAGCGCAATATTGCATGCATGCATATGCAATCAAAAGGTTAATGAAATAAAAAATCTGCGTCTCACTTAAATAATTCTAACTGTATTTGTTACTTGACGATAAAACTGTAGAATAGATTTATGTGCATTGCTGATCGTATAGTGAGCAGTGACCGGAATATTGAACATCATGTTTATTTTTGATAATGTATTTTGATCGAAGTTACTATATTCGCTATAAAAAGCCAATAGCAAATTAACTTACATATTGCGTATATATTAAACAAATTTTGACTGCACGGTTGGCGCGTTGGCTGGGCAACTGGCTGCCGCGCAACGTGTTACGGGTTCGATTCCCGCACGGAGCAATTCTTTGTGTGATCCACAAATTGTTGTTCCTTGTCTGGGTGTCATTATGTGTATGTGAACTTGTAGAAAAAAGATTATGTATTGAAAGCTCAATAGACAGTACGGGCGTGTAATAGTATAACTTAAATTAATCTAAATCTACTTGGAATCAGAGTTAAATAATTTATTAACTTTATTTTGGAAATAAACTTCCAAACAATGTGGACAGATAAAGGACAGACAACAGAAGCTATTTTATGTTAAACATTGTATTTAAAGATAAATACGGAGAAAACTTGAAAATAATAGTAATTAATATCCATACTCTCGTGTAATCCGAGCCTATTGCCATGTGTATATACCGGACACAATTCCAGACTCCGTGATACTGAGATTTTTTTTAAAACCTCAGTAGTATTTTGCCCGTCCCGGGAATCGAATCGAAAAAATAACATCAGAGCAACAAATATTTACATAACGTTTTTCGTTTCATTTTTCCAAAATAAAAACAGTCTATGTTACTCTTTGGTACATGGACTGCCAGTAAAAGTCTCGTCCAATGACCAAAGAATCTTTCATCATTGGTCTCCTCAAAATCGGTCCAGCCATTTTAGACATTAGCCAGTACAAACAGACAAATCATTTTAAAAATGTTATTTTGGTGGTATCGTATGTATGTAGAGGTATATTCATAATATGCATGTAGTAAAAAGTAAAAAGCGGTTATTTTAATATTACAAACGGACACTACAATTTTATTTATCTGTATACATGCAAATGGTACCGCGCAATTAAAATCTGTCAATATTCATTGTTATTGTAGTAAACTATTTAAGTATTTATACTTATAGTACTTAATTGCTCAGACTGCCTGGATGGCCGAGTTCGATTCCCGGGTCGGGCAAAGAATTACTGGGTTTAAAAAAATCTCAGTAGTAGCACGGAGTCTGGAAATGTGCCCGGTATATGGTAATAGGCTCACCCCCTATTACATGGGACTCTTAACATAAATAGTGAAAACTGGGTGTTACTTCTATGTGTACCTCTGCCTATCCCTTCGGGGGTAAAAGGCGTGATGTAATGATGATGATGACTGACTTGCTTATTTTTACATTAAGAAAACTTCTATAAACTGGTTAAAAGTCTAAAACGAGTTGTCAGAATTTGATATAACGATTATGTTTACCAGCATTTCATTCCCAGTCCCAGCTAAGCGTAACTGAAAAATTAATATAGTTATATCTGAGAATAAAATATAAATAACTTAAGAAGAATTACATATTAGTATTTAACTATTCTTTTTTATCTTTGCAAGGATGTGAACTACGTTCTCATTGTTCCGCGGTTTAATGGTGTCATGCACATGGTACATAATAATCGTGTTTTGGCTACAACTGCATTCGGCAGTCTTGCGTCAGTAGGAAGCGACGCTTGCTCTGGTTGTGTTTGTGTACAAAAATATAGATAAAAATAAAATGGCACCCGAAATCAAATACACTAAGGTTAGCACTTTTCAAATATTTACGTAATTTTTGTACTAAAATTTAACAAGGCTTAGATAATTATTTTTTAAAGTTCAACAGTTATTTTTATATTGAAACGTAACTCTTTTCTTTCTCATTAAAAACATAAAAAAGTTGTGTTCGTTAAGAAATAAAACCCAGTTAAGAGATCGTCAACACTTTTCTGTGTACCTACTGTATTAATTAAATTTTATTTTTATAATAGCTAAAAGAATGACAGTGTAAAAAATTCACGAGTATTTTAATTATGCAAACATCATGTTTAGTCTCATCGTCTCATCTAAACGTTTTGATATTCTAGACACGGTTTTCAAACGTATACCAGACAGTTTTATTATTACTGTCCTACAAAAAGGAACCTTGAAACTGTATAATTAAGTACCAGATTTGTTGAGTATTCTTATAAAGCCTGGCTATATGTATAATCGCTATTGATATGGAGTGATATCGTGTGTGCAAACGTGAATGCTATGCAAGCGACCAAATAATACTGCGATTATTGTTAATGTGTATTATCAAAAACATACACTGACGTAGGTGGGGTGATACCGATTATTTACTAAGATAACAGAACATAACATTACATAAGGTAACATTACATACCTAAAAATCGGTAACTCGGTATACGCTGTTTTGCCGGTAAACAAATATGAAAAACTATTTTTTACTGAAAATGTTACTCAAATGCGAATCTTAGACATAAACAGAGTTTTTAATCGACTTCTAGATTATCAAAAAAATTGCGTTATTGACTTAACTCACTTTTTTTTCTATTGGTCACTTTTATCAAAGACAAGAGGCGGTACAAGTTTCTGAATCATTGTTTACTTTTTTTTATAAATTAAAAAAACACAATTTCAGAGTTAGTATTGTTTTTTTTCAGTTGTACATTGACGACGAATGGGTGGACGCTAAGAGTGGCAAAACCTTCGAGACATACAACCCTCATGATGGATCCGTCATCGCCAGAGTCGCTGAGGGGGATAAGGTACATTTACTATGTTATCATTACGGAAGAGTAGCAAAAATATCACGAACCTAAATTGCAAAATTAGTGGCATGTGAGATGACCATTTTAACAGAATCAAAAGTTATTTTCTAATATTGCATTTAAAATATGGTTCCAGGAAGACGTAGACTTAGCAGTAGCTGCAGCAAAGCGTGCATTCCATCGCAACTCAGAATGGCGTCTGATGGACGCCTCCAAACGTGGGGAAATACTTCGCAAGTTTTCTGATCTCATGGAAAGAGACGTCGATTATCTTGCAGAACTCGAGTCTTACAATAATGGGATGGTATTGAAGTACTCAAAATCTTTTGTTGGAGGATCTATAAATATAGCCCGTCACTTGGCTGGCTGTACTGATAAAATAACAGGACAAACCATTCCCGCAGGTTAAATATAATACAAACATACTGCTAACATCGTTTATCCTTGTATTCGAATCAAGTCTGTACAAAAGTTCACTGTCAACAGATGGCGAAGTATTTTCTTACACCCTGAGACAACCTGTGGGCGTATGCGCTATAATTTTACCATGGAATGGTCCTATTTACCTATTTGTTGGTAAAGTTTGCACGGCATTAGCTGCTGGTAAGTTTATTTTTCATTTAGGGCCTATCTGATTTGGTTATACGGCAAATTGTAAGGACATCCTAAATATCACATTATCCTTTTAAGGTTGTACTGTGGTGGTGAAGCCAGCAGAACAGACTCCACTTTCAGCACTGGCACTTGCAGCATTGTTGACTGAAGCTGGCCTCCCCAAGGGAGTGGTGAACATCATTAACGGGTTTGGTCCTGGAGCTGGTACCAGTCTCACTCACCACAGCGACGTCGCTAAAGTTTCTTTCACTGGCTCTGTTGAAGTATGTCCTGCACCAGATTACTGGATTTTTTAAATAATGGAATTCTAACTTATCTATTGTATAATTACAGGTTGGGAAACTGATTCAAATTGCATCTGGAGAGAGCAACTTGAAGCGTGTTACTCTTGAACTGGGTGGCAAGAGTCCCTTAATTATAATGAATGACGCCGATTGTAAGCTATTTATTAGAATGTATGTAGGTACCTACGTTATATTTGCAATGGCAAACATTATAATAGTTTCCTTATTTCAGTGAAAACGGCCGTTCAGTTTGCTGCACATGGAATTTTCTTCCATCAAGGGCAAGTTTGCATAGCAGCTTCTCGTTTGTTCGTACAGTCCGGAATTTATGACAAGTTCGTCGAAGCAGCAGTGGAGCACGCAAAAGGAATCAAGGTTGGGAACCCAACTGATCCTGACACAGAAAATGGCCCTCAGGTAAATAAACATCATCAGAACTAAATCATCAGCGCCCTGTAAATTAAAAGAAAATGTAATGGAATGACAAGGGCACGGACAAGAGTCCGTGGAGAATAAAAAATGTAATATTAAAAAAAAATCATCAGCGCCGACATTTGTATATTGCTTTATGTTAAGTGCTAATAAATATTTAAAATTCATAGATTGATGAAGCCATGATGAACACAATTCTGGGATATATCGAGAAAGGAAAACAAGAAGGTGCGAAGTTATTGTGTGGTGGCAAAAGAATTGGTACCACTGGTTATTACATTCAGCCCACAGTATTTGGGGACGTCACTGATAACATGACTATCGCGAAAGAAGAGGTACCATTTTATTGAAGACATTGAACTATTATATTTTGTATTGATACTATGATCTTGAAATTATCCTAAAAGTTATTTATTTTCAGATCTTTGGTCCAGTACAAAGTATTCTGAAGTTTGATACTTTAGAAGAGGCTATTGAACGTGCTAATGCTACAAACTATGGGTTGGCAGCTGGAATCTTCACAACAGATCTTAATACCGCGATGCAGTTCTCCAAGCACGTAGAAGCTGGTACTGTTTGGTAAGACAACAATGTTTTTGTATGGTTTTTATAGGTTCTTTAAAGGACTTTAAAGACAAGTCATTTGGTGGTTATATTAAATTTATTTCCACATGGCTCATAACGACAAGTGAAACATTTTCCTAAATTGGTAACTTGTTGTTTCTTTTGTACATTTTTTTCCTTTGCAGGATCAACACATATTTACAATTAACGCCACAGAATCCATTCGGAGGTTTCAAAGAATCTGGAATCGGACGTGAAAAGTAAGAAATAGAATAAGATTATTTGACATGAGTCTATTATCATACAATTAGCCATTAGTGCAGCGAAATATTAATTTATTTTGAGATATTATTTAAACCATTGAGTTTATTTTAATTAATTTAGTTTGTGTCTTCGTTTTTACCAAAAATACTTACACAATAACTTTTTTTTTTACTTTGCAGTAGTTTGGAAGGCATTCGACAATTCACCGAAACAAAAACTATTGTTCTAGCATTGCCTAAGAAGGTCTGACGTTAAAAAAGAAAATCAGGTGGTCAACATTATCTATGGCTACAATTTTTACGATATTTTTGTATTACTTGCACGGACATGCACATTATGTTCATTTTTTTACACGTCTTTTAAATGTAACATTATTTTTTTATGACCAGTTTTCCAGAAACCGTTTTTTTTTATTATTTTGCTTATAATATACTTATCCCATATGTTTTAATTTATCCATAAATAACTATAATGAACTATCAAAAGGCTATTATTAGCCTACAGCTACAATAAGAATTGAACAACTTACATACTGTACATTTACCTATGCAGAACACATGAATTAATATTTTCATCACTTTTAAAAGAGGAAAATTATATGAGACATAGATATAACATTAAGATAAAACCTACTCGTAGAAACATCATGACAAGTCACGTATTGATAATAATGATAAGTTTATCAATTAAGATTGTTTTGTACTTGTGATTACACCTGTTATCAGTTCAAAGGCTCATTCAGGTATACACATGATCATATAGTGTATCATATTCATATCATGATCTTCAAATCTCAGGAAAAGATTACCATTTCTATGCTGATCCTTCCTTTAAGATATTAGCTTTAATTGTAAACACAATTATGGGTTTCCAGAAGGGGACTTAGATAACTTTAAGTCCCGAGTGGGTGGCGTATAGACAGATGTGTTCAATTTGAACCTATAAAAAATTGCTTTATTTAGTAATGTACGGCTGACAAACGGTGAAGGATAACATTGTGAGGAAACCTGGAGTTATATATAATTTCTAATTACAAGTTTCCATCCAACCCGCATGGAGTAAGTATGGTGAATAACCCGTCATATGTCTAAACGTGGATCCACGCGAGACAAAATATATTTTCTATTATGTCTCATATTCAATAATATATAATTATATATTCGGGGCATTCAAGTGTTTAACACTCAAACCTTCTCCGTGCGCGAAAAGACCTTCGATCAGCAGTGGCCGCATAGTGGCTGTTGAAGTGAAGTGTAATATATGGTTGAACCCTCAGCACAGTGGATAATTATTATTAGTTATTTGGTATGCAGTATGTTAGATTTTTGATTTGAACAACTTCTTTGTAACTTCCTGATCGATCTCAGAATCGATCAGAAGTAGCAGTGGTCAGAAAAAGATTACCTTACATTGCACACTAATTGAAAATAGGCAGTAGGCATACGTATGTATGTACTTAGACCGATTGACCAAATGGGGTCCGTAATCGCCTAAAGGTGTCGATCATGCGCACGTAATCACTGTGATAGTGTAGGATGGTTATCTCAATTCTCAAGTCCTATAATAGATACCTACATGTTTGTAGCTAGTTCTTGCTTCTATCTCAAAACCAAAGCCAGAGTATTATATACTCGCTACTCACCTAAATTCCTAGCTTAGTGCGAACTAGGCATTACTGCTAGCTGCATAGTGGCCTCATCGTAATTAACGGCCGATATAGACATCGGTCTAAAACAGTACCTACTATTAAAAACATACTTAAATTAGAACATTTGTACCATTAAAAGTTGTTATTATATATGTAGTTCAATGCGTTAATTTTCAAATAAAAGTAAAATTATTTTATTTTATTTTACAATTTTAGGAAATCTTACAGCTACCTATAATATGAGCCTAGATTAAATTATACGGCCCATAACAAGTTTCCGCATAAATGTAATTTTATTTTTAAATAATACATAATATCCTTCAAAGGATGCTTATATTAGTGTAGTTCAAAGTACGTAAGTTCAAAGTTCAATTATTGTCGCGACAATCTTGATAGATCACTTTAATATTGTTATAATGTCGCTTCATTGTATCTAAAACAATGTTTGAGCTTTATTAATTCACAATTTATAATATATTTTACTACAAAATTTTCCTATAATAAGACAACTTTGAAGCAGCCTTATTACTACAATCTCAGTAAAATTTAAAGTAATATAATTACAAAAAATATTTTAAGTTGTGATAAATATTATATTAACTAATCTTTTTTTGAGAGGAGGGGAAAAGGGAGTGTAAGATTCTTACTGACTAAAAGCCACCCCGTTCCTACTTCTTCTCTTCGAGCCGGGGGCAAACCATTAAATCCTTCCCGGGCCGGCACATAACTAAGCACTAAGCTACACCTCAATCTGCTCAGATGATTTATCTCATATATATCATAGAAAAAAAATACTTACAATCTCAGACAAAGAACAACTTTATTAAAATTTTGAAGTACAGTACCTATCATAAGTAAAATTGATTTTCAATCTACCTTATCTTTAAGTACCATAGTGAATTGGTATCATCACCGAAACACGGAGCATAGTACCTATAGTTCGTTTATCAACGACAATAGAAGATAAGTATGATAATTCTTGACTGTTATTGCAAGATAAACAAGCTGAATTATCATTAGGTAATTATTACCAAGGCATCTTCAAGTATAATTGACAAGTAGGTTTAAATAGACCACCTTGTACATAATTATATAGGTACCTACCTAGTATTAGGATCCTGTTTCCCAGTCAACCTTGTTTAGTATTCAATGCCTTGTTGTTGAATTATACACAAAGTACCTAAGTATTCCTGAATATCCCATCTAGAATATCTTGAAGAGAGTGACAAGTCCTATCTACTTTCCTACACTCAGTATTCTTGCATCGATCAAGCCAGCAAGTTTTTAGCCATAATAGCGAATAGAATTTCATGTCAATTTAATTAGTTTTGTTATCAAAGAATAAGGAATGAAATAAATACTAAATCTACAAGTATGTTAACACAACTATTATGTAATTGTACATACCTAATACGATATCCAACAAAAAAAAATCCTAAAATGAATAGTGCATTCGTTCCAAAACATAAGTCCAATATTATAATGAAATTTTACACAAAATCACCAATTCAACGGAGTATGGAATTATATTACGGATCCCAGTATTCCATACTCCGTTTATTAACTTAAGCATCTGTCTAATACTTGAGAGAGAATATCGAGACACGATAAACCCGAATTGGAAAAGGTTGAGCAAAACAGGCAGACAATGAAATATACGCTAACTATGTCTATGTCTTTATTTTGTTTCTCTACCTTTTTATATCAAACGGATTATCTCACAAACCGGTTTCTAACAAACTTGCTTTGGAATTATCTGTTTTGACTAAGCTTGGTGCGATGTATTTAAGAATAGCCAAAACCACAATTTTAAAGAAATTCAAGCAATCATGTGGTTAACATATGTCTAAAATTATTTGCTCGTTGATATACTTACATTTGGGCTTACGATTGCACAATGTTTTATTAACATTTCTGATCCAATTGGATCATCCTACCTACATATAGGTATCACCCGACAGTGTAAAGTTCAAACTGATTCTTTTGCGCCATTTAATCTTGATTGTTGCATTCATACCGTAATGGGTACAATGAACATACCAATGTAGTCTGTGTGCCTACGTAAGTGGCTATATCATTTAGCCCGTCTCAGTGACCGTCAGAAATACAGAATAGCTGTCTTTGGGCGTGGCGTATTGTTAACAAAACGTTGTTCGCGAATTGCACAACATTATGAAATGATATCAGTACAACAGTTATCGCTACACAGGCAGAAAAACACTCTAGAAATAAATAAGTAGCCATCTTTAAATGACCACGTAATACTGTTTTTATTTTCTAATTAAAAACCATATTGTTTTAAAATTACTTTATATAATTATATGTAACAATGTACATAATTATATAAAATATATACACTGTTAAAGTTCTAAGAAAATATTTACAAATATAATATAATGATATAAAGTTTAAATTACCTGGACTAATAATATCTAGTAGGTATAACACAAATAACGTTAGTTAGATTGGAAACCAAAATGTAGTGAAAATAAAAATTCTAATAAATACAATAGCTAGTACCTAAATATTACAATAACATTTACATAATCGTAACTAAAGTTACTAACAACATCAAAAACAGATCAAAACTTAACATAATCTTCCTTCAATTGACTCAAAGTAACGTTTTGTAAACAACAAATTATTGTTGACAACAAAAATGTCGGTAACGATGATATGCATATTTTTATCTTTTTTTAAACGTGTGTATCTCCATAATACATATCAGAGATTACGTTGTCTATTACAGCACCGGCACCGGTTTGTATTTCGAAGCGTCGCATTCCACGCGACTGTCGTGTTGTGCCCGTGTTGTGTATCAGTGAAAAAAAAATTAATTTAATTTAAAAATGGCACCAGAAATTAAATATACAAAGGTTTGTATTTTTTTTTCAATCTATATTATATGGCTAGCTTTTACCTGATTGTAGCAAAAGTATTATTTTTTTTTAATCTGTGTTTAACTTTTAGAGAGCTCTATTAGGTATTATTACGAGTCAAGGCCATTTAACTAAATGTTTGATCTGGGTAAATATTTGAGAGTGCTCAGTTTGAGTTAGAACTATTATAGTTGTATAATTTTACTTTACATAATTTGATCTTTTCATTTAAAAAATTAAATGCGGTTTGAAGTAATCCAAAAAAGAACAATGAAATCTTGAGTTCTTTTATTAATAAATTAATTGAAAATTCCTTTAAAAAGCGTCTAAATGTTAGCAACAAATTCTTCTTGATTCTGTTACTATTTTTTCTCTACACACAAAAGAATATTTCACTGAAATGCACCTTTCCAAAAACACCAACATTTTATTCTTATGGGTGACAATAGCCAGTTCAGAAACAACAAAGTAGAGTTTTCAGTAGCAAAGCCTACTGAATAACTAATAATACCTAGTACATATTTTAATTTTCAGTATCCTTTTAACATGGAATTTGGTATTGGGTTTAGAGTTTATAAGGAAATTCATAATAAAACTAGCTGTATAGTATATGTGAATGTATATTTATGTTAGCCGTTTTTTTAATAAACTTTTATTATATTATTGTATCTTAATAAACGCGTTTGTACATTTTATGTATGATATTTATTTACGATATTTATAAGGTAGGCAAAACCTTTTTGCCTATATGGACTGCACACCATGAAAACTAGCAACAATGGGTGTTGAATACATGCAGAACGTAGAATCCTGCCTTCGATGAATATTTTATAATTAAATATACTTATTGACTATGTAGATAATATGTATTTGCTTTACTTTGCTGCACAAAATATGACATCCCCTAATTTGTTCATTAAAAAGCTTTATATAAATGTTAGCGAAAATATAGTTTTAGGGTCGGCTTTCTGCATGCACCAACATAAAGAAACATTTATTTATTCTAGTTGTTCATTGACAACGAGTGGGTGGACGCTAAAAGTGGCAAAACCTTCGAGACATACAACCCTCATGATGGATCCGTCATCGCGAAAGTCGCAGAGGGTGATAAGGTACATTTATTTATTATTTTTCTATTGTTTCTGTCGTTATGTGAACATGGTGTCTCATACATCAAAAAATGAGTTCGCTTCGTCCATTGGTGGTATAGTCTTGTTCTTGTATTATGTAAGTAGATTACTTTTAATTAATGTACACAAAATCTTCTGTAATATTTACAGGAAGATATAGACTTGGCAGTTGCTGCAGCAAAGCGTGCATTCCATCGTAACTCAGAATGGCGTCTGATGGACGCCTCCAAACGTGGAGAAATTCTTCGCAAGTTTTCTGATCTCATCGAGAGAGACCAGAAGTACCTCGCTGAGCTAGAATCCTATAATAATGGTATGGTACTAGCCCACGCCAAAACATTCATCGGTGGAGCTGTGGGTATGGTCAGGTACTTAGCAAGCTGTGCTGACAAAGTAACAGGAGAAACTATACCTTCAGGTAAGATATTGTAGTAAGAACACACATCTACAATCTACATATGTTAATATCTACAAATCTATAACAGTTTTAACCTTGAATTTCTGTCTCAACATGTTTACTCGATCGTCAACAGATGGCGAAGTATTCTCATACACCTTGAGACAACCCATCGGTGTGTGCGGTTTAATCCTACCATGGAATGGTCCGATCTACATCTTCGTTAGCAAAGTTACCACTGCTCTTGCTGCAGGTAAGTCTAATTCAACATATTTGATATCTCAGAGCCAAAAGTGACACGACATGTGTATAATTTTATACGAACTATACAGGTTGTACCGTGGTGGTGAAGCCAGCAGAACAGACACCACTTACAGCACTCGCGCTTGCTGCATTATTAGCTGAGGCCGGTCTCCCTAAGGGAGTGCTGAATGTTGTCAACGGTTTTGGCCCTGGAGCTGGTAGCAGCCTCACTCACCACAGTGACGTCGCTAAGGTTTCTTTCACTGGCTCTGTTGAGGTAAGTGCTACTGAAAGTAAAGTGACATACTAAGACTTATATACATACAAGTCATGACATTAATAAAAATAATTTTACCCATAGGTCGGAAAACTAATCCAGCAGGCGTCTGGTAACAGTAACTTGAAGAGAGTCACTCTCGAACTCGGTGGAAAGAGCCCTCTCATAATCATGAATGACGCGGATTGTAGGTTTTCAAAATATTTTAAAGTTTACGATGCGCGTTTTTATATCACCAGGAAAGTATATTTAAAATATCAAATTTTCAGTAAACGTTGCTGTTCCTTATGCCGCTAATGCTGTATTCTTCCATCAAGGACAAATCTGCATAGCAGCTTCCCGTTTATTCGTACAATCTGGCATTTACGACAAATTCGTCGAAGCTGCTGTCAAGTACGCTCAGAGCATTAAAGTTGGAAACCCAACAGATCCCACACACAGAACGGACCTCAGGTAAGCTAAGGAGAATTAGTAGATGATACATCATAATCACAACATAAGTTGTACTATAATTAAATAAATGTCATTATTTTTAAAAAGACTCTAACTAATTTCGTAGATTGACGAGGAAATGATGAACAAAGTTTTGGGATACATCGAGAAGGGAAAAAAGAAGGTGCGAAGTTGCTATGCGGTGGTAACAGAATCGGTACCTCTGGTTACTACATCCAGCCCACTGTCTTCGTTAACGTTACTGATGATATGACCATCGCAAAGGAGGAGGTAATTGATATATCCGAACAGTCATTATTACACTGATGTATTTAATTAAGATCATACTATTTGACTCTAAGCTTACATTTAATTTCAGATCTTTGGCCCAGTACAAAGTATTCTGAAGTTTGAAACTTTAGATGAAGCTATTGACCGGCTAACGCTACAAACTATGGATTAGCAGCTGGATCTTCACAACCGATCTCAATAATGCTCTTCAATTCTCCAAACACGTCGAGGCTGGAACAGTTTGGTAAGACAGCACTCTCTACTTAATGAACATAACTCACTAGTTAGACATCAAATCACTATTCGATGTCTTTTAATATGTGCTCTGAAATGCAACAAAATAATTTGTGTTTGACTAAATCAATTAATACCTGCAGGGTCAACACATATCTGCATTTCACACCACAACAGCCATTCGGAGGATTTAAAGAATCTGGAATCGGTCGTGAAAAGTGAGTATTAAAAAGCTTTTTGAAAAGATCTTTGTTTTTCATAGCTGTACCTCAACTACATTGGAGTCTACCCCCATGTCTTAACCGAACTTAATTGTCAGTACATCTACCATCAAAGGGTAACACAGTTGAAACGTTGATTATTATGGACCATGAAAAATTCAACATAATACTGCCTTGACGGCCTTGGCACCAAATATAGACTAGGTACTTATAACAAAAGAATCAATTTCATCAGTTTACGCTCAACCCGAAAATTCAAACTCAACGTCACGCCAACCATCAATGCTTTAAACCTCAATATGATAAACCAATATTCATATTCCTTTCTTAAAAAATTTGTTGTTTCATATTGTATATGAATGTGATTTTTAATTTATTTTTTCCAGTGGTTTGGACTCTCTCCTAGCTTACACCGAAGTAAAAACCGTCGCTGTTGCCTTACCAAAGAAAGTCTGAAGCAATATAATTTATGTTTCTTAGTTTTAAGACTCACAAAATAGATTTATTTATATCTTGTATTGAAATCGTTATTGTTGCTGTACGCTTTTTAAATAAACTTTTAAGAATGAAGCGTTATTTATCGTTTTAATTGTTCATTTCTTTATTAGGTACTGTAATGTCCTTGCGATTATAATTGTGTACCTGGACGTTAAGCATTTGCTATTTATGATACCTCATTCTAATGAAATAAATGTACTCGTTACTACTGCAACTACTGTCAAGGTAGCCTTGACAGTCGTTGCAGGATACAGCTCACGTATTCTTCATTCACATGACCACTATTGTTACTTGTTGATAGACTACTATTTATTGTTAAAAATATTTGACTTAACAAATACATTCTCAGTAGTAGCACGGAGTCTGGAATTGTGCCCGGTATATAGTAATAGGCCAACCCCCTACTACATGGGACTCATAACATAAATAGTGATAAGTGGGTGTTACATTGTACAGTGGCATTAAGAGCCGTAATGTGCACCTCTGCTTAGCCCTTCGGGGATAAAAAGGCATGATGTTATTTATTATCGAAACCCACGTATACAGTTAGAGTAATTATGTTTTCCGATGTTTACTACCATGCTTTTGCAACCATGATTTTCTAACGATTCTCGAGCAAATACCTTCAGGCTATGTTTGAAGTAGGAAAACTTAAGTAACACAACATCATTATAGATACACAACAGCTGTAGATAAGATAGTATAAAGTATGAATTTTCTACTAATTTCACCTTTGCTTGGTATTACTTGTTTTATATATATCTCTCTCCACATAATTTTCTTAAATAAAAAGGGACTAATGCTGTTTTACATAATTCCTAAGAAGGATAGGCTTGCTTTGACATGAATATATCGGATAGACCATAGTGATACTACGGCCTCACAAGTTCCATTTTGTAATCCGAGGTTACAGAAGGCCCATTTCCTTACTTACCACATTTGAACTTGTCCTTGTGTATTGCGAATGTCTATAAACTGTCAAACACCGAGCGGTCACCGGTGACCGCAACCTATTGTTCTTTAATTGTGTCTATAATGACAATACTCAACGAATTAAGATGCGTTGATTGTTTACCATTAGGAAATCTGTGTACTAAAAATATTACGTACACTATGATGCAATAAGGTAGGTAGGTAGATATTTAATTGATCAATCACACTAATCTTAGTTTTGTACTTCAAATCATTACTAAGTTGCAAGCGACAAAAAACTGTGGCACACACAGGTATGCAGAACATAATTATGAGTCTTACGGATCAATTAAATTATCATCATTACTGTTTCGCATTTTTTTTTACTATATTCTAAGTATAACTTTTGATTGCGAAGTTGACCTAATACCTGTACATTTTTCGATGGACCACCCGGAGGACATGGTGGATGAGTTCGACAACCTTTAATTTACTTTCACACTTTTCTTTTGCCGTTTCCATATCTCGCTGTCTTTCAAACATCAACGTTATTGATGGAACGATCCGCACTATGCCTATGCGCTGCCTTAGTATTATCAAAATACACATAAGTTGAAACCACGAGCAGGTAATAAACAATGCTTATCTACTTAACGATAACATTATTTCAGTACCTGTGCACTGAAATAACCATTATAAATGCTGTATTTTCATTCTGGAATAGGCCACAATACCTACATAATTATTAATATTATGTAGTGGAAAAGGATTAACCTCTTGTCTGTTGAAAGTTGCGGGTACCTATAATGTGTTTTATACCGGGAGCCGGTGTTTCAACAGATAAAAGGATAATAGAATGGCTGAAATCTCTCACATATGACGAAACAGATCACTTCTTAAATAGAGTTACCTGATGAGATTTATTATTGCACGTTGAAACACATACTTCAGCTCACACATTCACAACTATCGCTAATAGACGCTAAAACACACACACACACACACAAACACAGTATATATAATTCAAACAAAACGACCCACTGCATACCTACATGCAAAGAACATAATTATGGAACTTTTTAAAGATAGAACTGCCCAAATTGTGTGTTCACATCATTGTTTTCTCTTTATCTTCAGTTGTGATAATGACACCCGGGCGTTTCCTCCCGCCCAATCCGAAACAGGAACCTACCGAAACTTCCGTATCCAGTAAGCACCTGCGTCAGGCGGTAGGTGAGGACGCCGTAGCGTCTCTTAAGCCACTTCTCACAGAGGGGACTTACAGCTGCAATGCGAGCTTAGAGTGAAGCAACCCTGGACTTCAAAAAGACTGCCTCGTTGGTCTAGTTGTCGCAAGTGCGACTGCCGGGCAAGGGGTCTCGGGTTCGATTCCCGGGTTGGGCAAAGTATTACTGGGTTTTTTTCTTTAATCTCAGTAGTAGCAAGGAGACTGAAATTGTGTTCGGTATAGCCTATTGGCTCACCCTCTATTACATGTGACTCATAACATAAATAGTGAAAAGTGGGTGTTACATTCTACAGTGGCATAATATGCACAAATGCCTACCCCGCCTAGTTTTAAAAAAATATATTTTTATTTCTTACAATGAAGTAATTACACCAATAATTATTTTGTAAACCAAGTTTAAGAAAACCGACTTCAAACCACTCTATAATTGAAGTCGGATACCTACAATACAATCGTAAAACCTTCTTCTAAGTATAACAAACACTTTTCAATAAATCACATCAAAATCTGTTCAGCTAATCACGAGATTAATGCGCACAAACATACATACGAAGTCGGTTAGTAAAATTGTTCATGATCTTCTTTTTTTTATTTTTATCACCCAATCACGACTGTGGTGAACGGTGTCCCTAATTACTGGATATAATTTGGTTTCAACATAGATATGCAAATGAACGGTTTTGTAGAAGTAGGTAAGGATATACCGTCAAAGTTAGCGAGTTAACAAGTAATATTATAACTTTAACTGGGATATTTCTAGCTCATGCAACGCCAAGTTAATAATAGCCTGGCTGTAATTTACAAAAATACTAATAATGTAGAAACATATTTAACGCATATGACCCGATCCGTCAACAGTTCAAAAAGAATAAAACTCCCAATTAAAAATACAGTTAAATTATTTCATTCATTTTTAATTACATGAAATTCAAAATAAATAGTATATGGTGATTTCAATTTCGCAAATGGATTGCACAGTAACACTTTTACACGTCAATATTCAAACTAGATGAATAAAGCGCTTCAATTTAGTTAAACACCTAAATGGGCACTTATGCACTGGCAATAAAGTCCATGTCCATCCATATATATCGTGGAAAACATACATTACAGGTTTATTAACAAAACTTACAGTATTAGTAAAATTACACAATATTTAAGTATAATTTCAAAATCATAGTTATCGCTACAGACACCGAATCTCTAACTCGATAGTCCCACTGTTTTAAATTTTGGATTTAAAAAATACAAGTCATGATGACATTTATTATGACTTAAATGATGTGCCTACGATAAGGGAATAAAAAAACCAACACAATTTCAACCAATTTCATCAGCCAGTTAAAACGATACTCAATTAAAATGTAGGAACTTACCTAGACTGCAAAGCTCAGATAACTGATAACTTTGATTGCGCTTCTGACTATTTGAACCTTTCAACGAACCTGTAACTTCTCTGGTCTCATGGAAATTCATTGGATCAGATCACTTACTATTTAACAAATGAATATAATGGGAATTACCATATGATGGTGATCCAATTTCTTGTTTGCCTCCCATCGCATATAAATCTGCTACCGTAACTTTTACTTACTTACTACTTTTTAATAGACCTAAGATACAAATACAATCCATAAAATTATCAAATCAAACTAATATCTTAATTTTTGTAAACATCAAAGTACTATCGAGATATGAATGATAACAAAAATATATTCGTAATGATGACGGTGCATAT